AAAAAAAAAAAAAAAAAGCAGGTTAACTGGCCATATACATTAGTGAAAATAACAAAAAGAACACATTATATTAGACTTTTTTCCCCCCAAAAAATGCTTCTATGTTTGGATCTATAAGGGGCTACATCTGAAGTTGCATTTATTAGAAAACCCTCTGGCTTAATGTGCCAGAGTGTGATAGGATATTCACCCAAGGAGAAATATGCATAAAAATATATACACATTTTCTTGCAGTTTTTTTCAAATCACAGATTGACACAGAAATTAAATTAGACAAAACAAATATAGAAATGGAAAACTAAGACAAGGACAGAAACCAGAACTGACATATTCATTCACCTCTGCTTAGAAGTATGTTCCGCTATATTCATTTGGGCTTGTTGTGAGATACACAAAGCAGCAACTTTAAAATCAACTTAGGATAAAGTTTCTATTGAATAAAGGAAGAACAACACTGCGCACCTTGATCAGTTCTGTGTAACCCGTTTCCTTTGCTGTCCACCATGGCTGAGCTTTTAAGCCCTTGACATTGTACAGAGAACGCTGCCAGATAGATGCAAAGTGACCCCGTTGGTGCCCACGTTCATACCACTTGTACGCCTAGAAGATTGAAATTTGACAGCATATTTTTCAATTGTTGCATCTCAACTGAAAAATTAAGCTAATAAGAAATATAATAATCTAGTTATTATTTCCTGCTTTCTAAGTATGCATTATTTCTCACACAATAATAAAAATATTAATATTAGTTATCAATGAAATTATAATGTTGTGCATTACAGTAGAAGAACATTTACTCCACTGTATGTTTTGTCCACCTAATACATTTTAAATCCATTTTTGAAATTATTGTCATTTATAAGAAAGCAATGTTAACCTGGGCTGGAAAAAAGTTATTTTTTTACAGAAGTAGTTTTGAATTATTACTATAGTTCATATTCCCAAAACTATATAATATCACTTTAACTGTCCTTATATTTAATGAGTATTTATATAAACTGCATGAGTCAACTGTGGATGAGTCAACTTTTTCTATTGAGGTATTATCACTGATGTATAGAACCTACTGGTACCCACTAAGCAGCAGAAAGTCATTGGAAACAAAGGAAGTCATCAGACAGGACTCAAAAGATACTGAGTAACTGGGATGTCTGTCATAGATGATTTCTGGCCAAGAGGAAACAAAAGAGGAAAGAGAAATTCCTCACTGTGGCCCTCTAACTCTATTCAGGAATAAAGAATAATGGAATGCAATGTGTGCATAAAACAAGATAATTTCCTCATTCTCCTGTTAAAGCTATCCATACCCACTTCTCCCCAATGTTCCCTTTTTGCAACAATCCGTACTTCCTACATCCCATAACGTTTCTGAGGACTCTCTATATCTTTCATGCCTTCTATTCTGGCAGAACAAAGAGAAGCAATACTTTGTTTTGAATAATGTTTCCAGAACCAAAAGAATGAACAGCAGTTATCTGGACTGACATCAAATGTAAGAACTCCTTTATGGGTATTTAACTGAAATGTCAAGCACGTAAGGCAAAACTCTGTTTCTGAACTTAGGTTCTCTCTTTCAGATAATGGAAAAGGCTCTGAAAAACCTCATCTTCCACCACCTGTTGAATAAGCAGGAGCTCATTTTCTATGTCAATTTTTATTGTATCTAAATCCCCTTTTAACTATAATTATGGAGAGGAGAAAAGATGTGTATTTCACTCCATCTCTATTACCTCTGACCTCCTTGAATTTAACAAGGTAATTTGAAGGTGAATTACATCGTATTTTTTTTAGAGCATAGGATTCAGAACCCTGACTGTATAGGGTCCTATATTATATATACCATTGTTAGCATATTTGTCCAAAAGCATTTAGAACTATTTTTCAGACCTTCCCATCCATCTGGTAAGATTGGAGTAGAGAGTCAGACCAGCAACACACATTCTCCAATTAAGAACTCTTGATGTCCACTTTTGGCACCTATCTAGTACTATGTAGCTAAGAGCAGCTTAGCTAATTCCATGCATTTAAAACTTTAATCCAGCTATGTAAAAGTACTCATTTGGAAACCAATCTTTCAGAACATTGAACAGCTTATTTTTTAGTCCTGACTTGTGATTGAATGGAATTATGAAGGCCAGGCTCAGAGAGATAAACATTCTT